TTTGTGGAGCAGTGTGGCAGGTGCTGATGCACGACAGGTAATTGACGTGCGCTGAGCTCTTGAGAAGTAAAGGTAACACGCACATGTGCCGCCACACCGCAAACACTACACATGCGACCATCACACGGGCGGCATTACAATAATCATATGAAGGCTTCCCTGTTGGCGGGGGAGGACGCCGCTTTGCGCATGGAACCGCACGAACTGCGACTGAACTTGCGGGTTCGCAAAACGAGCGTAATGTCTGTGACGCCTGCCGCTCAACCAGCGGTTGTTGAACATCGAGCAGCATTGGCATTGGTGCCAAGACACTCGCCAACGCCCGGTAAGCCACGAAGTGCCTTTTTCAAAGAAGCCACGTACGATCTGAAAACATTGCAGCATCTGATAGTTTAACATTATGTTGTCGAAGCTGATCACAGCACATCGTGCAGTGTCAGTTGCAGTCCTTCTTGCAGCAGCATTGTGATTCAGATGAGCATGAGCCTTTTGCAGCAGCTGCTGCTGCAGTGATTGCAGCTGCATAGGACCATAGCTGGGCTGCACAAACCTCATTGTGTTGGCATCAAGACCTGTTGGCACAGAGCCAGCGAAGGTACTGCTTTTGTGAACTAGCAGTGAGCTTGACCGGGCTTGCTGTTGTGAGCTTGCTCAAGTCTCACACACATTGCTGATTGTTCATTGGACAACCTACATCGAATCGCTTGCTCGGGATGCCGCTGAGCTCGCTGAATTTGCAAAATTCGACCACACAACTGCTCAAGGTAGCCACTTGCAAAGCGGGCTCAATTAGGCACCCACTGGCTGCCGCAATAGCGCATGCATGACTTGAGAGCAGCTTTGAAATTCCGCATGACCTGAAGGCGTCTCATCGCCAAGCTTTACATGCACGTGTCCCCCCAACAGCCACCAGCAAAGGAAGTCACGGCCACTCACTTTGATCATGTATACAGTGCGAGGCGCCATCAGCAAGCGGCATCGGCACGCCTGCGCATGGATGAACAGCCCCCAAGTTGCCAAAAACAGTCCAGGTCCGATGTGCCCTATCAGCGTCATGGCGGCGACTAGGTGCTGTGTTGCAAGAGCTGCGAGATGCGCTAGAGTATGCTGTTGCTGCTGTTGCTGCTGCTGTCGCCTCTATCAATTAGCTCCGCTGTGCTCCTCCGTGTGTGTGCTCGCAATCAGATTTTTGACGTGCGTGTATCGTATCGCCAACCAGAAAACAAGCGGCGGCTGTATGCGAGATGACGAGGCACCAGCACAGGCGCGACGGTGTCTTGTCGGCACCGTGAAAGCCTGCCGCTAGCCTGCCGCGTTTGTGTTCAATTTGGCGGAGATGAGACCTCGAAATCATGGCGGGGAATCAAATCGATCGCGATTACCGGATCTGGGCAACGTAGATCTCATCACGCACAGCAGAAGAAGGCCCGTCGATCCGACTCGGTGAGGTCGCGATGTGCATGCACATGTGGCAGTTGTGAATGTCCACGCGACATAAAGTCTGGAAAAAGAAGGCATGTCACGAGTGGTCCATTCAGGGTCTCTAGGTGCAGCAGTCGACATGTGGCGTCTACACGACACTAGGCAAGGCATGCATGTCACACCATATTCGTCTCGGCGACTTGAGTTTCAACATGCTGTTGGCGTTGGTCAATCACAGATGATGTGCAAAGTTGAAGTTGCATACTTGGCTGATCCATGCCACGAATCGGCCGCGATATTGGCTATTCAGCAAATAGCCTAACCTAAGCGGTTACCCAAGGGGTGAGAAGTGTGAGTGCAGCGCCAGCCACTCGCAGGTTTCATCCTGTCCATATACGCGTATGCAATAATTGTGATTGCCACAGAATTGCTACAGCAGCTGAGGATATCATTGGGTTTTGCGCTGCGTCGCATTTTACAATATCTCGAGAATCGTAGAAGAGCACCCCTCCGGGGCCAAGCGCCATTGGCCCATTGCCTTTGAAAGCACCCGTGTACACGGGGACTACGTTGAGGCTGGTGGATTTTCGGGCAGGAGTCCAACAGCGTGGTGTGTTGCCACATGGTTTGCATTGCTCAGCAATGCTTCAATGCCTGAAGCATTCAGTGCAAGCATCAAAGAGTTTGCAGAAAGCAGTGTTGAATGGGCAAATCACAGTGGCAAGCGCAGCACAACACAGCGCCCGCCGATTTGTCACAGCAAGTGCACCAAACACATGAGCGAGCCCGTACCAACATTATTCAAACACCCCAAATTTTGTTTTATATCAGCACTTTGTACAGCGCAGACGCCAGCGCTACGGGGCATGAGCTTCCGCTGCAGCCTCCTGTTCAGCGGCCTGCGGCGCAAATGCGACTTTGTACACGTCTACATATGTCGCCGCAAAGTGAACATCGAGCCCGTCCTTCAGGTAGTCCGGCAGCTCGTCGTAGTCTCGTCTGTTGCCCTTGGGGAAGACGAGGCAGTGCACGCCCGCGCGCCGCGCCGCGATGGTCTTCTCTTTGATGCCGCCGACGGGCAGGACCTGCAGCGTCGCGGCAGCAGTGCAAGACTTTGTTGTAGAAAATAGCGAAGTCCATCAATGTATGTACTGGGTGCGTGCGCGAAGCGTGTGTCAAGCACGAACGTGTCGAGAATAATACCAAGGTGAAGAGCAAGGCGCAGATGCACGCTGTCCTCAGATAACTGCAGTCGCGAGCAGAGACACGCCGTGGCCTCTCTGCTCGATGCACGGAGCACGCGGGCGGGCGGTGCGCAATGCTCAACGCTGCCTTTACCACTGTCTGAGTGTGCTGACGGTCATCATGAGTCAAGTCAATATCGCAGTCAGCCCTTGATGAAATCTCAGGTGAGCAGCGCAGAGTTGAATCATGGTGAGATGGCGAGCAGGTCACAATGTCCTGCAACCGCCTCAGCGTCTGTCACGGCAACGCTCACGAGCCCTCACCCTAACCCTAACCCTAACCCCGTCAATACGCACAAGGGCAAGCAGGGCGACCGCAGGTCAGGTGACGACACACAGGACTCAAGCACCAATGCCCAAACAAACCGCTACAAATGCATCCAAAGACAGGGTAAACTGGACGCAAACCATCGACGTCTAACATCGCCCATACGAGACAAATTGTGACACCACTGCTCGCGTGCCTTGACTGTGACAATACTTGCTCAACATGACCACATTGGTGCGCAGCAGGCGCGACAGCAGGAAGCTCATGCCGCCAACGACACTCAGCAACCAATGCGTACGCACAAGGACAGGCACAAGCGACCGCAACACACACTATCCGACAACACACGAGAGCACTTCAATAGAGTGACGCCCCACCTTGCCCGTGAGCGACACCTCGCCTGTCATGGCGACGTCCGCGCGCACGGGGCGCGCGAGCGCGAGGCTCAGCAGCGCTGTCAACAACGCTCAGCAATCACCCCATACTTGAGCACAGGCACAAGCGACCGCAACACATACTATCCGACAACGCAGAGAACTTCAAGTAAGTGACGCCCACCTTGCCCGTGAGCGACACCTCGCCCGTCATGGCGACGTCCGCGCGCACGGGGCGCGCAAGCGCGAGGCTCAGCAGCGCCGTCGCCATGGTCACCCCCGCGCTGGGCCCGTCCTTCGGCGTCGCGCCCTCGGGCACGTGCATGTGCACCTCGGCGCGCTCCAAAAAGTCGTTCGCGGGGGCAAGGCGCGCGAGCTCGCGCCGCGCAAAGTGGTGCGCGATCTGCGACGACTCCACCATGACGCCGCCGAGCTGGCCCGTCACGCGCAGCGCGCCGCTGCCGCCGCCGCCGCCGCCGCCGCCGCCGCCGCTGCCGCCAGCGGTGTCAGTCGAGGCGGCGTCTTTCGGCGCGTTTGAGGAGCGTTGCGCGGCGCGCGGCAGCACCGCGCTCGTTTCGATGTAGAGGCTCGTGCCGCCGAGCGCTGTCCAGGCGAGGCCCATGACCACGCCGGGCTGCGGCGGGGGGCGCAGGGGGGAGGAGGGGGGAGGAGAGGGGGGGGGGGGGGGCAGAAGTCAGTTGCGTGCGCAAAGATGGCGCATGGGACGCGATCATATACTCTACTCTGCAGGAGTTGGTTTGGGGCTAAGCCCAACCCCAAACCTGACCCTGACCCTACTCTTCCTAATCTGTAGCAAGCTGAACAGACGCGTACGCTGCGGCGCAGAAGTGAGTGAGATGATGAAAGCGGCAGCTCCATTCGACCACAGGGTGCGGCAGTGGAACCGTCTCAAGTCTTCAAGCCGCTAGATCAGCGTATCATCTTTACGTCAACGTCAGCACCGACCAATGCACGTTGTCACGTACCCGCAAATCATGCGCGCCGCACACGGTGCCATGGAGCAAACTCTACAGCATCTCCTCTTGATACATACCCCAAGAGAAACGGCGCTGCACATCAAGACTCACCGGCAGCGCCTCTTCATACAGCCTGTCGCTGGTGAACACCGGCTTGCCGACGTAGTCGCTGAGATTATCGGGCGTAACCGCCCAGTCCTGCCGCTCCAGCAGTTTCGCATCCTCCTCTGCGGTCTTGCCAATGACAGGCTGCGCCAGCGGCTCGGCGGCCTCTGTCGCAGCAGCTGCGGCATCGCCGCTGTCGCTGGTGGCGTCGGCGGCGGCCGCGAGTTCGCGTGTTTTGACGACTTCTAGCGCAAGCTTGCGCACGACTTTGGCTATGTGCTTCTCGAGGTTGCGCACGCCGGCCTCGCGGCAGTACCACCTGCATAGTCGAAACAGGCGTTGTGGTTGAGTTTCTGCTTACCCATGACCAAGATGCTGTAAATTTCACATGTCGGCAATGCCAGTGCCAAAAAGGATTACCGAGTCTGCTGTGTGATAGTTTGGGCAGCAAATGCATCTCACGGTTTTTTGTTGCGATGACATGATGAGCAACAGATACGATGCACAATCATTGGCTGCCACTAGCCTTGAAATCGCTGGTAGTTCACAAAAGTGTACAGTGTCTGTCCAGAAGGGGGGAATGGGGGGCAAAAGTAGACAAAAAAGGCGTTGTCTCGTGTGAGTTTCGATCTCACGACCTTTTGAGTGTAAATCAAACGATCTGCCACTGATCTAACAAGACACTCTAGCGAAAGCAGTTGCAACGCGGAATGTGACGCATGATTACACTCTCGCTTGCAAACGAGTGCCAGCACCACGGTTGGTACTCCGCAGCAGTCTCCTCTGGTTGCGCCGATGGAGCTCGACCCTTGTTGTCCAGTAGTGATGAGTTCGCAGCAGTGAAGGTACTGACTACGCGAGGAATGCTACACGGCGAGGGGTGAAGACCTCCGCGGCCGGCGGTACGGTTTGTGTGTGTTGCTAGTTGTGTGTCACCAACACTGGATGCTCGATCGGCACTGGCTGATAACCGCAAGTAATGGTGTTTGTGCGAACCTGATGAGCTGATGGCTCGTTAACAGCAGCAGCCCGCGCCTCGGGACGACGTACTCGCAATCAAGGAGAAGATGTACGACCAGACTTAGGGTTAGGGTTAGGGTTAGGTTAGGGTTAGGCGCAGCCATTCCGGCAACACACGACGCAGCTGCCGCTGGATCAGGGGCCGCGGCGGCAGCACAGGCGGCACCAGCGGCAGCAGCAGCAGCGGCGGCGCACGGCGCAACTACTCCGGCGGCAGCAGCAGCGGCGGCAGCAGCAGCTGCTCCAGCATCAGAGGCTGCTGCAGCAGCGGCAGCACATGTTGCACCTCAAGTGGCCTCGGCGGCATCACTAACTGCAGCATCAACAGCAGTGGCTGCGGGCATAGGCAACACAGCTGCTACAGGCCCTACTAGCCTAAGGGCTGCTGCAGCACCTGCAACAGGAGCAGCGTCGGCAGGCGGCGCCGCAACCGTGCCGGCTGCGACAGCGGCAATGGCGGTGGCAGCGGCCAATGCGGCAGGTGCTGCACCAACACCTGCGGCAGCAGCAACACCACTGGCAGCAGCAGCAACGGCAGGCGGCGCAGCTGCAGCACCAGCGCACGCAGCAGCGGCAGCCGTTAATGCAGGCGCTGCGCGTTCCACACCAGCGATGCTACAAGGCGCAGCAGCAGCAGAGGTGGCGCGCCTGCCCCTCATGCGGACGATCGCCACAGCTGCCACATCTCTACGTGCAGCAACAGGTGACAAGCTGGAACATATACTGCCACCAGCGCTAACGCCACTGCAGCAGCAACCACCTACGCAGCAGCCGCCGCTGCGGCCGACAGCAGGTGGTGGCACTGGTGCGGATGCTGCTTGCGTACTTGACGCCAGTGCTCTGCAGTTGCAGTGTAGCCTGAAGCGCCCCAATCAGAGTGCGCTTGCAGATGCCGTCGCTACCGAGCTTGCAGATAAGGTGGAGGCGGACCTGCAACAGCTGCCGCAGGTCACGCAACGCACGCAAGCACTTGCTCGATTCCGGTCGCAGCGCCACATGCACTCGATCGGCATGGCATTCCTCAACGAGCCCATGTACTCCACAACGGCTTCGTTCGATGGCCTATCCTGGCAGCTGGCCGTCAAACGCGCCATCGGAGTAGAGGAGCAGACGGCAGGCTGCAAGCTGTGCGGGAAGTCGCCGGGCGGCACCCTGCATGCACAGCTGTGTCAAGCGCCACGCGTCAAGGCGCACGACACCATCGTCCACAATAGCGTCAAGAGGGCCACGCAGCGCATTCTGCGGCAATACCTCAAAACGGGCCTGGTGGACGAGGACTACACGCCGTTTCTGAGGTCCGCCGAGCCGCCGGGGAGTCGCAGGATGGACATCGTGCTGCCTGCCGACGCCTTCCCGGTGACCGGCTACGACGACCCGACACGCCACCTACCGCTCATGGTGGACGTTACCTGCTTCGAGGCACAGGTGGCGTCGCGGGCGGCGAAGACTGCAGCAGACCCCGAGCAATGCTGCCGCGACCAAGAGGCCGCCAAGACTACCCACTATTCTGGTCATTATGATCAGAATTGCTACAAACTTGCCACTTTGGCAATAGGGTCATTTGGCAGCATCGGGGAGCAGGGGCGGAAGCTGCTGGAGGCTGTGGCGACGGAGTATGCCAGCAGGATGTCAGTGCCCGGAGGAGCGCGCCCTAAAGCTCTCAAGGGCATCGCCCTGGCGCGCTTACGCTCGGCACTGTCGGCAGCGCTCCAAATGGCGTACTCTGGCCGTGTCATGACACACATGGCAGAATCCAGGGGGGGGGGGCACATGAAGGAGGACGTAGGGGAGGACCCCGAGATGCCATTTGGCGGCGGCGGCGTTTGAGTGGTTGTCGTTGCGACGCTTTCAGACTGTCATACGACATGTAGATTCCTTACAGCTAGATGCCAATCATCTGGGCTTTTTCGCGCCCTGAGCGAGAATTAACAAAAAGTACGACCAGACCATATGCTTAGTGTAGCAATGATGCTGACCAGACTGTGGCAGCAAAGTGTCTAGGTTCTCGTATAGAAGGCTGGCTTCTCAATAGCTAGTGTTCTGAGCTAGTATCGACAACATGTGACACCCGACCTTGACAAATGTGTACTGACTGACATCGCAATCACCGTGCTGTGTTGATACGCCCAGGTGATACAATATACAATGCTTCAGACTTCCATGCAACCAAAATTATATGATAATGCGCAGCTTTTGACACATATGTCACCTGCGTTGCTGAAACGTTACACTGCACAACCTCAAATGCCAACAATCCAGATCGCATTTCGCCTAGCAATGGCAGACACTGGAGCTGTTGGAAAATGTGAGGTGCTGACCTGATCAGGCTCTCAACGGCCTCGCTCGTGATCTTGAGTGATTCTGGGACGCCTTCCCCCTCTGCGAGCCCCCCCTCCTCGAGCGCTTTGGGTATTAAATACTGCTCGCTGATGGCAACCTGCAATACGGGTCGCACCACAATTTGTCACCTAGAGCTCTACAATATTTTTATTCGTTTTCACAAGTCCTTGTCATCCATCAGCTGCAATATATGAGAGCAGGCAGCCTGTAGATGCGATGAACAAGGCTGAGATAGACGCACAACGGCAGATAGGGGCAACGGCAGTCAGAAAGGAACATCAGGCCAGGTAGTGTCCAACAGGCGTGCCAGGTGAGCAGCAGTTCGCCAGACATCTGTGCATGATGTGGCGAGCTGGCGTATAAAGTCCACCACAGCCGCCTGCAACAATCAGAACTCTGCCACAACTTGGTACAAACTGATGCTAATGCAGCCACTGTCAATCACTGCTGTCGCGTGCACAAGGCAAGAATATGACAGCTTGATTGGTGGCGGCGAAGCCACCACATCTGGGCCCCTCGAATCGGACAGTGCTGCGAGTGCAGTGTACTAGTACTCCTGCAGCAGTCAAGTACCTGTGCGCAAACGGCTCCCATCACCTTGCACGAACGCGTGAAGTACATGACGTGATGCATTGTCACAACATCAGTGGGCGTGATCATTGACTGAGCTCTGGACTGGCTGCCTGCTGATGCCGCAGCGATGACAGCAGAATGCCGCTTGCCTACCAACTCGCCAACTTGTTATATGATTACGCGCCCAAAAACGCAGCCATTGAGTGGCATGGCGCACACACAACATACTTCTCAAAGTACATACCTTCTCAGGAAGGTCGTAGCCGCTGAGCCAGATGGTCTCCATGCGGTCCCGCAGTGGGCCAGGAATGGTGTCCATGACGTTGGCGGTGCAGATGAAGAGTGCCTAGTGAAGCATGGCATGGCAGTGCAGGTTTGTCAGATTATCCAGCACATGTGGCTTGAAGTTCATGACATGTGCAGTAGAAATGAAAAGTGAAGGGCCCCACACAGTGGCTGCCGCGCTTTGAAGCGTGCACATACACATATACACATATATATAAGTTCACATTGATGAGACGTAGATTTGTGCGGATGTTGTGCGTCCCCAAAAGTCGGCATCCTGCACATGATGACATAGTTGCTCAGCTGCTTGTTGTGAACAGGCATTCAAGCAGTTGCTCAGGGGTATCCCTTTCTAGTCAGCGTCCATGCCTGCTTCTCGTTTGCGGTGCTCTGGCCTGCGCGCCTGCGCTACCGCCTGCCGCTGCCTGCGGGTGATCCCCCAAACCTGCCCTAACCCTGCCCTAACCCAAATCCTAATCCTAACCCTAGCCCTAGCCCTGGCCTGCGCGCTTGCGCTGACGCCTCAGCGGGTGGTCCGCAGCTTGGCGACGCATTGGCAATCCGGTGTGCGCATGATTCTCACTCTCATGAGCACTTGGAAAAGTATAACGCTACCTCCCAGCGGGGCCAGAACCCTAACCCTAACCCTAACCCTAAGAGTACGTGGCCGCACGAGCACTGAGGATAAACGAGGTTGCACACAAAGCCGCCGGCTCAGCTACACAAATGCACGGAGTACGGCATCGCTTGCGGGCAAGGTGCGCAGCTCTGACACTTTGACAATATGGACACAGAAGATTCGCAATGCACCTTTCCCAGCCAGTGCCGGCGTCACATGCATGCAGGGCGAGCGTGTGCTAATCCGTGATGTACTGGCGAAATTGTTCGGTTCAGTGGAATTCGCTGAGAGCCAAACCGAAATCGAACTTCGGGTTCGGCTCGCTACGGTCACCGAAGTTTTGACCGAACTCAATGCAGCACTTCGGTTCCGTTTATACCAAAACCGAATTGACAACAAACCACTTTCATGCTCCATCGTCAGGCGTATCGCATGCGGCGCATACATGCATACCTTGGACAGATCGACGGGCACGTCAAAGTGGTGGCCCGAAGTTACCGGCTCAGTTACAACGTTGCAGAAAGGGGGGGCGGCGTTTGCGGGCACGGCCCCCAGCTACGAGACATTAGCAGCGCGACGAGCTTGCACTGATACGCAATCTACAGTGCACACGCATACCTACCTTGGACAGATCGACGGGCACGTCGAGGTAGTGGTCCACGAACGCGCTGTTCTGCGAGGGGTCCAGCACCTCCAGCAGCGCGCTGGCGGGGTCCCCCTGGTACCCCCGCCCGAGCTTGTCGACTTCGTCTATCAAAATAAGGGGGTTCGTCGTGCCGCTTGTCTTGAGCGCCTGGATGAGTTTGCCGGGCATGGCGCCGACGTACGTGCGGCGGTGACCCTGG